GGGGGGCGGCGACCAGAAGCAGCCCGTGGGGAAATAAAGCGCGGGGAGGGGGGCGGCTGCGGTGGGGGTGGGGAGAGGGGGGGGTCCGAGTCGTGTGCACACTCACAGCTCCATCACACACCCATGCACACCCCGTGCACACCCTGCACGCACCCCATAGACCCCCCCCGTGCACACCCGGTTGTGCACACCCCCACGCGCACCCCCCGTGCGCACCCCGCGCCGCTTTCCACGAGCGCAGCGCTTTGCTGCCCGCATCCTCGCCCCTGCTCCGAGCGGGGGGTTGCCATGGAAACCATAAAACTGCGGTGATTTCGGGCCGTGGCTGCGCCGTCCCACCGTGAAGGCGGCACGGATGGAGCGGGCAGAGCTTGTGGTGCCGGGGGGCACCGCCTTTGCACGCCTGGCCCTGCACACCCATCCGTGCACAGCCCTCTGTGCGCACCTATCCATGCACGCCCCTCCCTGAACACCCATCTGTGCACACGTATCCATCCGCACCTCTCTGTGTGCACACCCATCCGTGCACGCCCACCTATGCAAACCCTGTGCACACCCCTCTGTGCACACCTATCCACGCCCATCTCTCTGTGCACACCCATCCATGCACACTCATCCAAGCCCAGCCCCATGCACACCAATCTGTGCGCACCCATCCGTGCAAAGCCATCCATGCCCAACCCTGTGCACACCCCTCTGTGCACACCACTTTGTGCAAATCCTTCTGTGCAAATTCACCCATGCACGCTCCCGTGTGCACACCTAAGCACACCCCTCCCTGTACACCCATCTATGCCCATCTCTCTGTGCACACCCATGTGTGCACACCACTTTGTGCACGCCTATCCATGCGCACCCTTCCCCGAACACCCATCTGTGCACATCCATCTCTTCACACCCATCCGTGCACACCACTTTGTGCACACCCTTCTGTGCAAACTCATCTGTGCACACCCCCCGTGCACACCCATTGCACACCCGTTGCACACAGGTGCCCACAGTGCCCAGCGGCAGACTCCAGAGTTTCTATAGAAACCGAGAGAGGCGATAAGTGCCTCTTCCATCTAACAAAACCAAAGCACACTCGTGCACTCGTGTGTGTGTGTGTGTGCACGTGTGCGTGTGCAGCCCGGGCAGCTGCAGGCAGAGGGGCGCCGGGGATACGCTTGGGAATGCAGTCCTAAAGCGGGGGAGGAAGGGAGAACGGATTGGGGGAGGGCGGTGCGTGGGGCTGTGCGGGGCAATGTGCGGGGCAGTGCGTGGCGATGCGGGCGCTGCCCATCGTGCGGCTCCGGGGCCGTTTGCGGGAGGTAGGACGGGTCCCGGTTTGGCACCGATCGTGTCGTCCTCCTTCCCCTTTCCCCTCCCTCCCCCCAACCAGGGCGGAGCTGCTGCAACATGCACAGGACCACCCGGATAAAGATCACCGAGCTGAACCCGCACCTGATGTGCGCGCTGTGCGGGGGGTATTTCATCGACGCCGCCACCATCGTGGAGTGCCTACACTCGTGTGAGTGGGCGCGGGTGCCCCACGCCGTGCGGTTGTAATGGAACAGAAAGGGGGGATGGGGGATGATGGGGGGGGGGCTGTCCCGCTCAATGGGGCGTTGCGTTTCTCCCCGCAGTCTGCAAAACCTGCATCGTGCGTTACCTGGAGGCCAACAAGTACTGCCCCATGTGCGACGCCCAGGTGCACAAAACCAGACCCCTCCTCAGCATCAGGTGCGTGGTGTGCCGGGATATTTTGCTGGGTGACCCCTACGGTGGGGGGGGATGTGGGGCTGGGATGTGGGAGAGGTGGGGGGAGATGAGGTTAGGGGAGGTGGGATGGGATGGGATGGGATGGGATGGGATGGGATGGGAT